CAGTTTTAAAGTAGGTACAAATATTTCATATTTAACTTAAGGGTGTCCTATTACTGATGATTTCACCTTAGTATGAAAAACTGCTTAAAGAAGTAACTCTTCTGAGGACCGAAATTAGGGTTGAGTACAGAGTTGTCATATACCTCCAGAAAAGATCTAGAATACCCAAATACACATCTTTTTTCTCAGGAAATTATGCTTAGTAAGACTACCCAAAAAAGTGGGTAGAAAAATTAAATATGTTAAAAAAATGATTTCCGGGGGGGGGGCAGATGTAGGGGTACCCCTTAATATATACTGCAGTTGGGTACCTTTGCATCTCATTTACCACATAATTGTAACTTGATATGCAACATAAGATGAAGCAAGAAATTTTCCTTCTTTCAAACAAACAGAATTTTTTTTCGAGAACTAGCTAAGTGATTTTGCATTATATGAAAATCAAGGCCCGCAGAAAATCTAGAAATTAGAGTATGCGGGTTTATGAATGAGTAAGTTTGGCAATAATATAGGTGTATAAACAAAAAAAAATGTTTAGAAACCATAATTTTTTTCTCTTTTTCGTTTTCTTAAACTGTAATATATGGCAATACACGTCATTGAGAAACACAATAAATCCGAGTAAATAATTTTTTACTGACAAAAATCGGCCTTGAAGCATCCCAGTTACATTTCTTAACAAAAGTTTCTGTTTGGTCTTTAAAGTGGTATAGGTATAAAGGTAAATGAATCGTGGAGAGCAAGCAAAATTGAGCCTTAGACTGAAGGACGGAAAGACAGACAGTATTATTTAATTGACGCACTAAAATTTGACATTGCTAGTGTTTTAGATAAATTTAAAAGTCATCCTGACCTAGATTTTTAACATACCAGAAAGGGCACATTTTCCCTCTAAACAACCAGAAAACCAACTAATCAATGTCCATACTGCATACAATGGTTCTCAAAAAAGACATGCAGGTGGTACTTTTTAAATGCTAGCCAGATATAATGTTCCGATCCGACTTATAATTTAAATTATGCAAGTTTAAAAAAAAAAAGTTCTAGCAAAGAATGTAAAGAAAAGGAACAATAGTAAATACCTTGAAATATCCATTTTCTTTTAGATGAGTATGTGCTAATCAGATATTGGAGGATAATCAAAAAATTTATCATGAGCCCATTCTTGCCACGCATCCGCTGGATTGCATATCCGCGCTTAAATAGTCATAACGATCACCATGCGGTTCCAGAAGTCTTTTACACCACTCAGTACTTAACACAAGTTTCCATTTGGGTACACAATTTAAAAATGTTTCACGAAAATTCGAAATTAGCCTCTGATTTATAATTAATTAAGATTACTTAAATGAGCACTTGTGTTACTTTAAGAGAGGCAATTACCTTATTGTCTTTACAAGAGTTCTTTTCAAAGCACTGATTAAAAGTTCATACGTCATACTAATTTAAGTAAGAGTGCCACCAGCAACACATATTTACCTCAGTTTCTTTCAAACTCGTTTGGAAAGGTAGCGACAAAAGAAATATTATTTTCAGCACACATGAAAAGAAGACTCTCCTGAATCATTATTGCTGGTACCGCAATCAGTCCATCTTCATAACAATAATGATGGCAAACATGGATGTGGAAGTTAGGCAGAGAAAAAACAGCACTCCTGCCATTGTCACTCAGCCTTAGCTGTTTGCCAATGAAAAACAATTGGTTAACATCCATTGAAGAGATATAAAATGATCTCACCTTCATGTATCGACCGTCGTTAAGTTTAACATGAGAGTCATCCTTTTTTTTATCTTTCAAAGTTGAAGAGGTGTAAATGGACCCATGGTAAATAACTTCTTGGACAATGTATGTTGTATGTTGCAAAATTTGAGGACCAAAAGTTGCAGTCATCGCTGCCGCCTCTTCAGCAGATGGAATATGGACTCTTCTAAGTTTATTGCCAACAGTTGTTACTTCTCCATTACACTGGCTAGCAACTTTAAACCTCCTCATCGACAAGATTGAGTCGCAGTAATTAACAACAGTATCGTTGAGTGGAGGGTGTTGGGCAACGACAGCTGGTATGCTAGCACAGCAGCAATAACGACGAACTATCTGCAGAGCAACGCCTTTTGCTCCTGTAACAAGCCGAACGATGAAGAAATTTCCGGTTTCAAAAGGCTCCAAAGAATATGCCCATGCAGGCCCATTACTCGTTACACACATCTTAAGATGTTCACAACTGTGGACATTGAAAGTCATGTGCCGTAAGCCATAGAACTGTTGAAAGTCTCTCACAAAAACAGACAAAAAATCTCCAAAATGAACAATATCATTTCTCGGTATACGACTGCGGGAGAAAAAGTAGATTGCAGCACTTAACAAGCAGAAATGCCTGAAATAAGGTAAGGGTAAGATCCCCTGTAAACATATTGGGCCAAAGAAAAATAGCCAGCTCCTCCACTCGCTTGCTTTCCAGTGGGTACAGTCAGATAAAGGTCTCAAAGTCCGACCAATTTTTGAGGGTGACTTTAATTTTATAATTCTTGCATTAATCATAGAAATTTTAGGTGGAGTCAAATAATAATCTTCATCAGAGTGGTCAGGATTCATCCATATTGAAGAGCATAGATACTTGGCGACCCCCAAAAATTTTGAGTGCATTATGTCAATTACCACCCCCCAGGGGAGCTTAAAAAGAGGAAAGTACATAAGAGGCGAGATTCCTTTCATACCTTGAACAATTTCTCCAGATTCTTCAGCTTCTTGCATGGCTTGTCTCATAGACGCTTCAGTTCTTAATGGAAACTGATTCTCATGGTAACCATATCTTAAACTGTTTTCATAAGGATCCCCTGGATGCGTACACAGATAGCAGCCATCGAAGCCGTTGAATTGTATCATCTTCATTACCTTAGGTTTAGCGATTGTGTCAAGACTAACATTCAAGCAGTAGACTTTTGTCACTTCCTCTCTGCCAACTGTTTCTCTGTACCAAGTTATACCCTCTGTTGCTAATCGTTGCAGTTCTTCGATAGTGGGTGTGAGATATGTAGACATTGACGGTTCAGAACGTCCAAACCAAACAGCCGATAGAAGAACATTGTAAGGCGCAAATCTTTCTTTTGGATCAACTTCGTTAATGTAAAATTGGTTCGGCCAAACAGAATTTCTTGAGTTCTCAAACACAGGTGCACCATCTGTCTCCATAGTTAAAGTAAGGAAGGAGTCTGACTGATCAGCAACCTTCCTTTCAAGTGTTTGGAAATTAATGCAGTCAAATACGTCTCTAATTTCATTATCATCAGCGATTCTTCTCTGTCGATAAGAAATTAAATTATCCCCATGACCATTCAGGAGTTTTTCTTTAATTTGGTCTGCTATTGAAATACTTATGAAAAAATTACCATTGTTTGAGGATTTTGCATCAACAGGAGTAAAACAATCATCTGCAGGACACACTTGAATTTCTTCACAATCTTCTTTTTTACCCAGGTATAGTAAACATTTGGGGCAGTAAAGGTGTATATTTTTGGTATAAGTAGAGAAAAAAATTTTATTAAAAATGTAGTTACTTGCCGGAATTATTTCTACTCCCAAGATTAAGTTGAGCTGGGCGATTAAAGCTTTCACAGCAACATCAGAAAGACCAAAACGAACTGAATAATGAAAAATAGTAACCAATATTTCAAATTTTGTCAAGGTTACATTTGGGATGACTAGTTGATCCAAACCATAATAATCTGGGGGTGGGCCGTTCGGAGGAGGATTGCCATTACCTCCCAAGGGGCCAGGCAACGGATCCTGATCTGGAGGATTTCCATCATCATCTTGATCTGGGAGAGGCGGAGGATCCTCATCGCCAGGATCTGGATCCGGAGGAGGCGGAGGATAATCGTCACCTGAATCTGAGTTATCTTCGGAATCAGTTGGGAACCCATCTCTGCCACCATCATCAATAAAGAAATTCGCAAGACTATACGTCAAAGACCCATCAATATTATCACTTAAATCTTGAACAGCTTCATAGGACGTCTTGCGATTAGTACCTGAGCTATCACATGCATCAACATTTGGAATGATCGCAATAGGTACCGCATTTGCATTGGTCGCAGTATGTACAGCATTGAGAGAAGGAAAGGTATGAGCGGAGTCACTACTAACCTCAACTTCCATTTCTTCTACATCCCTTTTCTTTCGGTCGAAAAATGTTGATCGCGGAATGGATGAGGTCGAATTTTTATTGTTGTACAATTTGTATCTCCTGCGTTTACGTTCGTTTTCTGCCATTATAGTGTAGGTTGGCACTTACTGATTACAGAGATCTGTTATCAGAGGGGTAGAAAATTAGTCAAAACATATATTTCAAGACTTAAGTAATTTCGTGCCTGCAACGAGCACTTACTTATTTCGCTGCGCGCACTTCACAGAAAAAACGGTACTTGCATGAAAACATCTTCAAGGAAATCACACATCACAGAGTGACGGACTGAGTTCTGTTCTCCAAACACATCGAAAAAATAAAATTTCTCATGCAACGTCCAAAAGCCCGCGCGACAGTGTGTAATTATACAGAACATAACCTTAACTATGAACCATGAAAACATGATACTACTGAAAATCAACCGGTGTTTACAAACAAATTTTCACAAAAGGAGAGTGGTAAATGTGGTCTGGTCGCATCTCGTACCCTCTTGACGTCACACGACATCGGGTACATCCTATTCGCAAATATGTACCCTCTGCGCGTCACAGGTATTTGAAATGGCGGCCCACTCGAGATGCAACCACCTATGTTTAACCGCCATCGCGCTAAACCCGACTTAAACGTTACTAACGTTATTAGGCGTGCACGTTCGTGTGATAATTATTTCATTTCATCACATCTTATTCCACGCAGAGAGCAATTAGAATGTAATAAATTTCTTTTTTCTATTTTGTATAGTGTAAATAGTAGGATACGTGTACAGTGTACATAGGAAACGTGCACAGTGTATAGTTTTTGTGCGAAGATTTGTGGCAAACGAGAAACGAACATGTCAGAGCCGTACGCGCTCGTGAAATTTCCCGATGATGAGCCAAATGATCAGCCGGTGGCAGTGCCACAAAGCTTCGTTAAGGACTTCGATCCATCCAACTTTAAGCGTAATATGGTCGCCAAAGTGTTCTGGAGTCCTGTCGACGGAGAGACTCCCACCGACATCATGAGAGAGCAGGGGAGGGTCCTCGATCTGACTGAAGTACTGGACTCAGATGGCTCCAATGAACCGCTAGCAGGTTACTACAGGGCCATAGTCCTACAAATAGCTGGTAAGTGCTTCTTATGTTTGTTTGTTTTTCAGTGATATCTATCTTAATGGTTATGACAGGGTAGAGCTCGCTCATCGTATGTTGAGACAAACGTCAATCTCCGATTAGCTCCGAATTCGCACCGCTCAACAGGTTAATACATGTAGTCAGGTGGCACCACTGGTGAATGGTGACATAAACAATCCTTTGACATTTGTCTCAACATACGATGCGCGAGCTCTAACTTGGCCTTACTGTACCTCATAAGTTTGCTGAACTAGAACTGCAGGCCGATAATTGAATGTTTTAAGCAGCCCGATAAGACATCGAAATGCGATATATTGCACAGTAAAGATAGGGCTATGTCTTGTCGTTCTCACATAGTTTCGGTAATCGGGCCGGTGGAATAGAAAACAGGAAGACAAAAGTCACATCCACAAATTGCACCACTCAATAGATATTTACATGCTAACCAATGGGCCAACTGATGTTTGATGCAGTCAGGTTGATGTGACTTTTGTCATATCTTTAGGTCTCGATAGATGTTCAAATTCCCGAACCAATTACCATCAAAGTGTCGGGAGTCATCAGTCTGAAACTCATTAATTTGCTTAGTTTTAAAATGAAAACTTGGCAGAAATGTTTCCTGTGGCAGGAAATGATGAATGGTGGCACTCCATTCTGATCTTACTTTGAACAAAATAGTGCGGCCCGTCAAAATTTGATGGTAGATGGTGACCATCAGTCATCAGCATGTCTACTTTGATCGGAATTGGTTCGGAATTTGATCGTCTATCCAGGGCTTATTCTTTGTCCAGTTGTAGCAACGGCACATAGAACGACATGCAGATGAATCTTCTTGTTTCAGCTTTGTTCAAACTAGCTTTGAGAAACACTGCTCGTCTCTCTACACCCAGCTCAAGGTGATTTATCACTGTTTCAAATGTGCTGTCAAGCGATATATTATATTGTTAAGTTAAAATTTTGGCAGATTTTGAATTTTTAGCCATAAGATAGAAGAGCGTCCCTGCACAGAGCCTGAGGTATCATTCTGAACTAAAAAATTGGCAAAATTTAGAGAAGGAAAAGCAGGATTTTTTTTTAGGAAAAAACCTTGCATTCGATACGGAAGTTGATGACTGTATCAAATGCAAAGGTTTTTCCCAAGAAGAATCCTGCTTTTCCTTCTCTAAATTTTGCCAATTTTTTAGTTCAGAATGATACTTCAGGCTCATGCGCAGGGGCACTTGTCCTTTTTTTGGCTAACAATTCAAAATCTGCCGAGATTTTTTACTTAATTGATGCCATGTATGGCTTGCCAGTTCAACAACGTTTGAAATCGTGACAAATCACCTGAATGTGTACAACTGTAAGGACGTTCAGAAAAAAGTAATATGTTAGTTTGGTCTCTGATTTGTCACCCTGAGGAAGCCTGTTAGTTCCTCAAGGAACAGTATAACATCAAGTGGATGCGAACAAAGTGCCGTAATTCTGGTCCAAAGTCACTCGGTAGCTTCCGCATATTCAGTCATGAGAAGGCTGTTGTAGCATTTTTGAGTATTTCGATTCAGGGAGTTACCTATAAAGAGCTATGTCATAAAAATATTTTTGGCACAATGATTTGCAGCATAAAATTTTTGGCAATTTACGTACACCAATTGAAGTTCCAGGTTTTCTGGCTTATAATATATCTTACCTTCCACTTTGGAGTGAAGTTTAACATAGTTTTCTGAAATCTTAGTAGGTATATGATGCCTTGTAGCCAGATTTTATAATCAACTTAGATCTCCCAAAAGTAGCCTGATTAAAGAGATCCATTTAATGATGCTCACTCACTATCCCACATTTCCTTTTCCTTTCAGAGTCACGAAGAAAGTTGACGGAATTAGGTGATAAGAGGATCATTATTCCGACAAAAAAAGCCTTTTTAAGAGGCCTTGAACTGAAAGCAGACAAAGGACCACCCAAGAAAAAGGTGAAAGGAACAACTAAATCATCCAATCCTGGCTATGTCTCGAAGGTAATCTACATAGTGCCATTTAGAGTGCTAGTGCACACATGCTTTTTTTGCTATTTCGAGTGAAACAAGTTTAAATTGTCATAATTACAGGGAGCATTGTGGCAGAAAAATAATGTTAAACTGACATATTAGTACCTAAGCCGTAAATTTCTCTCATAGTTGACAATTATACAAATTTTATTAAAGCTACTAAAAACTTAATTTTTTCAAGAAGTATTTGCATTTAGAGCTGTGGTAAGATTTGTATGGATTTGGTAAACGAAACTTTTTGGACGAGGTGGGAAGTATTGGTGCAGTGCAGTTCATTGCATCTCCCCCCCCCCC